AGCCGCCGGCCTAGGCCGACTTTTCAAACACTGTGATTGACTGAAAGTCTGAAACCCGAAATTGAAAAAAATTTGCTGCAAATTTGAGCTTGAGATTGGGAAGCCGAAGAAGCACAAGTGTGGTCCATAGAAGAACAGATCATGAGACTCTTAATTCATCTAATTCCATTCCTCTCCCTGTTTTCCGCCTTATATTCTTCTCTCTTCGCACTGACGGCTTGGCGCAGAAGAAAAAAATACAAAATTTGCTGACTTGGTGTCTGTCTTCTGTGGAAGGAAATGATGAAGTTGTCCTGTCATGGAGTTTCTATGGTCTTGCCAATAACAAGGTTCTGTGATTGGCATGCACCCTCTCCTCTGACATGCACCCTCTCCCCCTAAAATGGCTGGTTCCCAAAGAATGGTACAATTGTGGTTGGACACTAAAAAGAACACAGAATTTGAGCCAAATGAGTAACTGAATCATTTACAAATGTAAGACTCCCCAAGAATATAGCATTATCAGTTACCGCAGCTTTCAGACCAGCAGCAGTTGTCCCAGCACCCCCATGACGCACCTAAGAAATTTTTTCATATCCAGTGAGAAACCGGGAGTAGCCTAGTTATCCAAGGGGGGAACAAAACAACAAAACGACAAAAAGGTACATCAAGTTCATGTGACGTTCTGAACACCAGTGCAGTGAAATCCCAACCAAATAAAAAAGAATTAAAAGCATTGAAATTTACCACAGCAGAGCATCGTTGGAATAGCCAATCATGGCGGCAATTGTCCACTAAATACACAGAATCACTTGGTTCTGCCACTGAGAAGAGATATATATATATGAAGACTTTCAGATGTAAAGAAGCATAAGAATACAATGTGCTTGAAAGTAATCTTTTTTTAAGAATCAAGACTTACAATTACCAAGGCCACCCCAGCCTCGGTTGATGACGCCTCTCTGTCCAGTTATTTCCAGAGCTTGAAGAATAATATTGGACATTTTCTCTGGTTCTTCAAGAGGCTAATACAATACACATAAATTTTTTTTTTTACCAAGGCCACCCCAGCCTCGGTTGATGACGCCTCTCTGTCCAGTTATTTCCAGAGCTTGAAGAATAATATTGGACATTTACCATTTCAAGTTGACTGAAAGTCTGAAACCCGAAATTGAATTAGACATGCCTCAGTCAAATTAAATATTGAACAACTGAACAACCAAAGGGTCGATTTGTCATCTGTCATGAATAGACCTCCACAACCTGTTCGTTGGAGACCAACATGAAGGTGGTCACTCTTTGGAGATTGTGGCTTTGGTTGATTGTTTTAATTGAGAAGGAACAAGTAATTTTTTTAGGGTAAGGACAAACAGAGCTACTCTGGGATAGAACTGGGAAAAGAATATTAAACATGAATAGAGAAAGCTGCAACAAACTCACAAGGCTATCAAATCCAATATAGGCAGGCTGTTCACCAGCTTCAAGCCACTCCGCAAGTGAATCTAGGGGTTCATAATTTGAAGCAAGGTCAAGAAAACAAAAAACAACAACATCAACCTTCGGTCCCCAATCTGCCAAACAAGTAAAACGTAGAGCATATCAGCAAATAATCAGCATACTGTATTCTCATTTGGTCAAGCTGGTCTATTTCTACCACATCAAATCATATTCCTGAGGCTTCTGCAATATTATCAGCATACTATTGCTAGAACAAGAAGAAGCCCATGTAATAAGATATGCTTAATAATCCAAAACCACCATGAGGATTCTGAAATGACCATGTATCTCTATAATATCTTCAGCAAGAAATT